CATCATCAGAGCTTGAACTCGTTCTTGCAAAAGCCTCACATTAACAAGCACTAGGTCTAGAAGAGTATCCGGCTCTATCTTACCTCTTATATATAATAAAAAACAAAAATGTATAGACATAGATGTAGATAGTTTTGATAATTATCATTCATGTTAGTCATGCTTCTTTTTATTCGACTATGTATATATAAGATTTATTCACCCAATTTCGTTTAAGGTGATGAAGGACTAGTAGAAGTAGAATTTTCCCACAAATGATATGAGTTGAGCTGACGTTTCCATTGAATTTTTTACATTGCTTTGCTTTGCCAAAAGTGGTTCTCATCCAGGGTGGACTGCAGTTTCGACCTCGCATTGGTCTTATCAACACCCTCAGCGGGAGTCGAAGCGCGACAGTGCAGGACAGTAGCCTGGCTTTCCTTAAAAATTCACATTTGCCTTGTGACCCAAAAGGCGCAGTTCACCCTGGATGAGAACAACTTTTGGGAAAGCAAAGCAATGGAAACGTCAGGAACTCATATTATTTGTGGGAAAATTCTACTTCTACCAGTCCTTCATCACCTTAAACGAAATTGGGTGAATACATCTTTTAACTGATTTACTGGTAGTCACGAAAAACACTACTTAATTCGAAAAATATGTATGTAAATATGTGTGCGTATGTGGGTGTGTGTGTGTGTGTGTGTTAATCCAGATATATGCAGAGGAAAAATCTTTGATTTTTGAACGTCTTAAAGTAGAGATGATATAGAATGTTCAAGCTGACGTATTTTTTTGTGATTTATTAGTAAGTTACTTAAAGGTAAACTCGCAAATCTCGAGTCTGGTAACCATTCTATAAACTGGGCTCGGTCGAACCGGCTGTGGGATGAAGAAAATGCAATGGACCTGCTAAAATCAGCACTGACCAAGTACAAGAGACACGAGATAAATGAGGCACTGATGCTAGTGGTATCCTTCTCCGTGTCCTGTCAAGTCTATTCATTAACCTAAGGGCTCTCTTTGCCATGCTGACAGATAGCAAAGTATTCCCAAATATATATGAGATGTACTCACCCTTTATCATGTAAGGTGATGAAAGAGTGGTAGTAGAATTTTCCCACGATTATATGAGTATACCTGACATTGTTCTCATCCAGGGTGAACGGTAGTTTCGACCTCATCTGATAAAACGGATTAACTGATAATCTCGTAACTCTACTTATATACAAAAAATAAGTAATGTAGTCGATTGTTATAGCAAAAATACGTTTGTTTCATCGACAATCCGACCAAAGAAAGTGATATGGGAAAAGGCCTGGCCTTTCTTGAAATTCACATCTGCCCCGTGACACAGGGGCACTCGTGGAAATGTGGCCGAGTGGTTAACGTGTCAAGTCCACCTGCTAAACTGACACAGTTTGACTCCCGCAGGGGGTGTTGGTAAGACCTATGCGAGGTCTGGATGAGAACAACTTTTGGGAAGGCAATGCTCTAAGAAATTCAATGGAAACATTAGTTCTATTCATATAATGGTAGGAAAATTCTACCACCAGTCAACTCACATTAAACTAAATATGCTCAATACATATCATATAACGGATTTACTGGTAGTCTCGAAACTCTATTTATATACAAAATGTTTATCTAATGTCCTTCCTCTTCTTACCGTAGATCAACAGTTTCATCTCAATTTTCGGGTGTGAGTCGCACACTAGCGTATGGTAGCCAAGCATCACCTGTGATTCAGAGATGAATACTCGACCCGGCTGAAACAGTAGTGATGTACTAGCTGAAGTGCAGTTCAATTGTTCTGACAACTTCTCGATTAATGGACTCAGCGTGAGCAAATCTTCAACTAGCAATTCACTTCCATCAACCCGAATCGCCTCGAGGAAGGCACCATTTCTATCTTTCTTATTTATTGGAACCTTACAAATCGTATGATAGCGAAGCTGGCATGTCGGATAGCCTCGATGGCCTGCCTTGACTTCAGCCAAATCCACAGCTTTTGGTAGCATGCAAAGAGGCTTAAAGTTGAGCGAACGCTTTGAGGTGAGGAAATGCAAAGACAGATTGTCCAAGCCAAGGAGGGCCTGCTGACAATGTATCTGGAACAGACAAGCAGGAAGTCGGCTCGTGGCCACACGATTCTCAAAATTAAGCTTGCTTGTTACGGTGACAGCCGATTCCGTTATCAAGTCTCGCAAGACGCAGGACAGCTGATCTCTCGAGGTATTCAACTTCAGCGGTTGGATATGACAATCCAGAGGTGGCGCATACTCTCTGTAACAGCTTCTCTGCGGAGGAGAACTTTCGTTGTTGCGGTTATCCTCACACAATTGGAAAAATAGTTCAGCAGGTTGGCCAGCTTGGATTAAAACCGTGTCGTTTTCTTCCCGAATGTTAAAGGAATCATTAGCTGATAGATTCAGAGGTTAAAAAATAATGCGTGAGTAAGATTATTCGTTGATGGAGGGGGAAGGAAGGAAATATTGAACTAATAAAGACCCAAAATCGGTCGAGGCGTATTGCAAATACTAATAGTTAGTGCTTCCAACTAAAAGTTAAAATAAGGCCTTAACGCAAAAGTAAACGGTATCAGACTTTGCATTAAAAATACATTGAATAGGAAATAGCTTTTGAACTGGAAAATACAATGAAATTAAGCGAAAAAATCACATTCTCCTTTTATCTAATCTTTGGTCATCTTATTGCTCTTGCAGAAAGAAGAATCATTGTAAAAAAAATTCAATTACCAGTCCTTCATCAGCTTAAACAAAATGAGGTGAGCATAATTCACAGATCTGATTTACTGGTAGTCTCGAAATCCTACTCACAACGAAATATAAGTAATGTCATCGATTACTATAGCAAATATACGTTTGCTCCACTGACAATCCCACCACAGATTGTGATACGGGAAAATGCCTGGTTTTCCTCGAAATTACCATCTGCCCTGTGACTCAAGGGAATTCGTGGCAGTCTGGCTTAGTGGCCAAAGTGTCAAGCTTATTAGCTGCACTACCCCGTTCCGGGTTCAAGTCCGGCTGGGGGTGCTGGGGAGATCAAGGCGAGTTCCGAGCTACAGCCCATTACAGCCGGAATTAGAATACCCTTTTGGAAGTAAGACTATGTGAAATTCAATGGAAGCATAAAGCTCACTCTTAATATTGTGGAAAATTCAACTACTAGTCCTCCATTTACTTTAAACAAGATGAGGTGAATACTTCTAATATATATGATCTACTGCTAGTCTCGAACGCTATATGCCTTCACATGCCCATTTATTGTGCGTATTTGATTCTAAAGATCATCCGTCTAGATTCTAACCCGTTTCTACCACCTCTTTAGCCCTAAATATTGAACCTCAGAATGCTGCCAAGCTTTGCTTCTGAACTCACCGATTACGTAGATGCGATCGGTGTAGTTCGCTGACGAGCAATTGAGACGGTAAGAAGTTTGAGTAGCCGGTCCTGTCAGAATTAGATTGTTATTTTCTAAAATGTGTTTGCCTTCAATATCGCCAACTTTATCAGGTTCAATTTGGCAAATGTCCGGCTGAACAAAATCGATCCTGCTGTATTTTTTTAGGTGCTTCTTGACGTGATGATACGCAGCAAATTTCCACTGGCAGAGAGGGAAGGATAGTGGGGAGCCTGAGTCATCCGTAGTTATGAGGGCATCTTGATAAAGAGGATGGGTTAGATGCAGCAATTTAAGTAAATGGATGGTCAAAAATAAAATAGGCAATACAGGGCCAAAATAAATATCAGCTAACCTAACAGCAATCTTTTTGCCGGTTTTGGCGAAAAGTTTGGTTTCGTGGAAGTTCTAGGTTTATACTTGTTGAAATTACTTTTATTTAGAGTAAAAGCGTGTGGTGAAGAAATTGGAAGGTCGATTACACCAGAAGACAACGGTGAATTCCTTTTGGCCAGCTGTCAGTTGGCATTACTGGAACATTCTTGATAGCCCTGTCCAAAGGGGCAGCCTCCTTCGTCTCTCGTGGAAACACAATTTCACCCGTTCTTATTAGAAATTATCATCTAATACTCAGCTACCCTCCACCCACACTTGTTAGGCTCTCTATTTATTGGCCCAAGCGGACTATGCTATTTCTCATATAAACTTTAAAATTGTTTGGCTTTATTTATTTCCAAGTAAATATAATAAGATTTTATTATTTCACTGCAAAAAAGGATTTAGACTATATTTTGAGCAAAATTTCTCAATATCATAAGCAGTGTTTAACAATACCGGAGTAAGATGAGAACGCTGGATAAAGCAAAGGAAATAAAGTGGGATAGGTGTACATAACTCATAGGCAGTTAAGCTTGTCACCATCACCTACGTTCTGAACTATACAGTTAAGAAACCGCGTATAACAAGACAAAGGATGGGCTTTACAGAGTTTACGAAATTTGGAAACAAGAGGACCTTAAGCAGACAATGTAATATGGTAAATCTCGCCTCTGGTGTGCTTGCATCTCTCACTTTCCCGATTGCTATATTTTTGCAACAAGAAGACGATTTGATAATGTTGGGTTTATCTGTTGCCCAAACAACAGGACAAGATGATTTAGACAGATGGGGTACAAAGATCGGATACGGGAAGAAAAGTGTTGAAAATTCAAGATCGATGAAATAATATCGTAGATAAATCTCGAAGACAAAGATCCATTTGCGTCGTTATTGGGTGCAAAAACCTGGTAACCAAATTCTTCAGGGCAAGCATGAAAACTTGGCGGAAAGGATTAATGAAGGAAGAGTTCCTTGCCACCTTAATTTCATTTGGTCTTCGTTGCTTCGTCCTGCCGTCCTGATTAATCTCCGTATTTCTTATGTCATGAGCCATACAGTTTTGGTGACTAGGGCAGTTTTCTATAGAATGCCTGTAAGAACAGATTTATCGGAGTCTCAGGAAAGTGAGCTAAAAGTATAAATCACAACTCCAAAACCCTCTTCATTTGGCTTTTAGTAAGGCGAATTTTCGATTCTTTTTATTCAAATTTTTATAGAGAATATAGAGTCCAATTACATAAATTTAGCAAGGAATCATATAAAGCCTACCATATAAATGAAAAGTGGACACTAAATAGGTCAAATTTTGTTAATTCTTAGGTTATCAGTAGCGTTTATAGAATAACTCTGGGAAGA